ACATCTGCAGTCAATGTACATTTTGATTTGTGTACCCAGGCCAATTGATTAGGTGGAAAATTCAAGGCTTATTGTATTATGATTATTTTGTTGTGGTAAGTTTTCTTTTGAGGTGTAAGCGAGCTCACGAGTTTAATTTGATTGATTAACCAAATTTAGTTTAAGGCTTATAACTTTTTACTACTTCTTCAAACGATTTTTTAGTTCAAAAATTAAAATTTTAATACTAAAAAACTACTTTAAAAAATAACAAGAATGCCATCTCAAACGAATCTTAAATTTAAGTTTAATTTTATGAGTTCATATAAAAAAAACTATTTATTGTTTGAAAATTTTTATTGGCATTAGAGTTGACTGCTGATTAATAAAAAAATATTGGAATAACAGAGATAAAATTTTAAATATCTGACAAATTTAACTTAAAATTATTAAATTCTAATATATTTTATATTAATACTTTTAAATAAATTCGCTGACAAACTAATGAATCTAAATTACATCAAGCTTAAGCTTGTTTGTTCATCGAATTCAATTCATTAATTATTTAGTAAGTCAATCACAAACATCTCTGTCATAAACAAGCTGGCTCATTAACTCATAAGTTGTCACTAATCAGCAATTAATTTTTGTAAAACTTGTTATTTTAAAAGAAGAAAAAAAGTCATCCTAAATAAGAGAAATTATTACATGTGATCACAAGACAATGTCCGGAGTCAAATCAGGATTCACCACGTCATCATTTTGTTATGTATTGCGGTTGTGCACCGCTATGTCCCAAATAACATGGCGCATCTCGATTCCTCTCCGGACAGTTTAATGACCGCACATAATAATTTCTCCCCAAATGAAGCCTAAATATGCTTATCAAATAATTAAAAACACACCGATAATAGCTTCTTTCCAAAATTTTAGAACTTGGGAATGCTTTCTGCATACTTGGAAAACAGATTGTGACATCAATGGTGCAGCATAAATGCAGCATCACATATGTAGAAAACAATAATTGAAAGCTACTTCATCAACAATTACAATTTCATCAAATGGATAACTTTTCAAATTTAGTAACATATAATTTATTTGATAACTGCGGTAAGATAATCAATTTTTTTACAAAACGCAGTTGTGAATTCAATCAATGCTCTGTAGAAAAATCCAGATTTGGAAAGCTAGTAAGTTAACTCAACTCAACTCATTAATAGTTCTCAAGAAACTCTTCATCAACTCATGAGCTTGTCAAACTAACCATTTAAATTAAAATATATTTCAAAATATTATAATAAAATAAATATTACATTTTTATATTTATTTCTTAAATCAAAATTAAGCTTTCTCGTTTTCAAAACAAACTACAACAACATCAAACCTTTATCCCACAATATAAGGTCGACTACATGAATCATTTGTCTCTTTTGTGTCCTGTTAAGGATTAATTATTCTGTGAAGACGCCGAACGCCATCCGAAGATCAACCAAAATGCGTCATGTGTATATCAAGACTCGATACTGCTCAGTACCGCCGCTCGATACCATTGACGTGGCTGCATCTGATTCACCTCCGAACGTAGAACTGCATCCAGCCTCCGCACATAATAATTTCTCCATGTTAAGAGTCAAATTCTCGTTTAAATCTAACAAAAAAATGATCATTTCTAATATGTTATGATCAAATCTTTTTAAATCTATCTCTATCTTTTTTAACATAAGTCAAATCTAATACACCTACTCTCCTAACAACAATCTAAAAAAATTATGAAAAAAAAATAGTTCCAAACAACTAAAATTTCAAATTTAGGCTAAATGTACAATATCATATTGATACCATTAAACAATTGGAAGACAAAACGCCTCAAAATATAATATTGAAATGAAATCATCAATTGCCACAACAGAATCATCCAAAACTTTATTGTCTGAAATTAAAGACTGAATGACTAATATCGAAGTCTCATAAATATTGTCTAAGGAAAATCATTTAGCTAAAAGATAAGCTAAAGCAAAGTTCCCAAACCTAATATTCATAACAGAATATATTTATAACAAAAGCCAAAAACACATCTCAGCAGTAGTATTAAGTCTACTACTACTACTGTTGACGTATTTCAGATTTCTTCTTCTGCCAGAGCCTATCAAGAGCGCTGTCAACATCTCCCGGAAAAAAATAAAATGAAAGAGTGCATTATAATCTCAAAATAAAAAAAAAACCAGGATATAATAAATTTATGATTTTAGAGATCAATTCCACAAAAGACTAACTTAATAACAAAATTGTAATCAAGATAACACCAATAAGGGTTTGGATTTGGATTAATTATTCTGTATGGAAAAGACCAACCAAAATATGACACGTCACCCCTTTATTGTGTACCGCGCCTCGGTACCACTCGGTATTGTGGCTCGATAATGCTGGCGTGGCCGTAACTGATTCGCCTCCAAATGTAGAGCTGCGTCCGACGTCCAAGCAGAATAATTTCTCCTAGATCTGAGTCTAAATGAGCATAAATCAAACTTTTGATAAGGGGAGAGGGCTTCAATCAAGTGTTAATGCTTACTTGATTTGAGTTTGAGAATTAGGAAAGTATTTAATTAAATCCAATTTGAATTTCATTAATTTGGAAACTTTTCTAAAATAACCTTGGTAATTTAAGAAAGATTATAAAGTTCAAATTGTTTGAATTTGAATTCAAAATCTGTCCAAATTATACCAATCCAAATTAGGCAAGGGAAAGCAATGGAGGAGGGGAGCTAGGGCCGGCGGGTTGAAGGGTTTCGGGCAAGGAGTCGGTGGCTAGGTGAGGAGGGATTATGTGGAGCTTGAGGGAGGGAAGGGGAAGGGCTTGGGGAATTTGGATGGTGGGGAGGTGAAGGGAGATTAGGTGGCCGACGGCAAGGATTAGGAGAGCCTTGGCCGGAATCTAAGAGGTGGAATATGGGGTTAATAAAAAAAATGAAGATAAGAAATCACGAACCCGGGCGTCTCCAAGGTTGGTAGGTGATGCGCCAATCTCCCTCTCCAAGGGATTTCTTGTCACGACCCAACCCGATCAGAACGAATCCCATCACATTGAGTCACGACGGATGAATCTAGGATCTAACTTTGGAATTTGTTTTCAGACTTTCTTTCAATACACAAAAGAAAATAGAAATACATAGCTACTATGAACTTCCAAATTGCACAGAAAACTCATCCATAATTTTCTTCTTCTATCATTCTTCAAAATAATCATATACATTACAGTGCATGACTATAAACTGAAAGTACAGAATATAACATAAAAGTTATGACTGTATAAAAAATCAAAAGTACAAAAATACCTAATCTAAAATCAGATACAGAACGGTTAGTCCAAAACCTCATTCCCTTTCCCAGAACCTGAAAATCATGAATATAACCACAGTGAGCTAACAGCTTAGCAAGACTACACTAGCCGATCAAAATCTCCAGAAACTCTCATATCAAAATACTCACAAAAACTTTGAAAAAATAGTTTATTCAAATAGCCGTATATAATTCAAACAATTGTATATAAATCATATAATCAGACAAAATGCAGATATTCGTACATAACGGATAAACAAACAGACTTCAGATACTCACACAGAATAGATAATCAGATGAAAATCAAAAAACATATGCAGAAGAACTGAATCAAATTCGTATCACATAATCATATAAATCACATTTTTCAAATCATATATCAAATCACATATCAAATCACATATCCCTGACCTAGACAGAATCTCAAAGGATTCTGGCCACTTATTCCTCCCTTTGTGCTTACAGCACCAAAATATACCAGATATACATAATTATCATATCAGAATTCATTTTGATATTCCCAAACCCAGACAGAATCTCAAAAGATTCTGGCCCATTATAACTCTCTTTTGATACCATTCAAATCATAACAAACATCAAATCATCATATCATAACATATACGGAGTAATTGAGCACATATCAAAATTTCACATTTTCGTATAGCGACTGACGACAGAAAGCCAATAAATAAAAAATGCACAATTCCAGAAAATCAGCAAATTACCAGAGATCGTGTAAAACATCATTTCATGACTTTTCTTGTACTGAAGCAATATTTTTTCAACATCCATATAATTTACTATTCGATAAAAACTTCACAGAATTCAAAATATCCGAAGAAAAACTTCCAGAAAATACTCAAAACGTGCAAAATTACAATATATACAACATACCAAAAGTTACGCGGTAAAAGTTTTACCAGTGCAAAGATATACCTGTTTTTCGCTAATGGAAACAAAATCTTAAACAAAAAATACATAAAAAATCATATTTATGAAAATTGAGAAAGGCATAATGTGCCTCACCTTTAGTCGATCAACTTTCCCAACTGCGGCGACGGACGAAAATGAACCGAAGTCGCCCAAAATTCGGCTTTCTCCCTCGTTTCCTCGTTTTTCTCTCTCCTGCTTTTCTCTCTCTACGAAGAAACATGAAATAGATATTTAATGGCTGAGATATTTCCCCTGATCTTCCGGACGATATTCGCAGTTCGCCCCGGGATGATCTCCTCAGGTTGCTCACAAACAACGTTCATACAAACGAAATTTGCTCTTCGTACAGGGACGTTCTCCTCGGGTTTCCATCGTACAAACGATGATCAACTTCGTCTCTGGACGAAGCTCTCTGTCTAAAGGCTTTCAACTGTTCGTCCCGGACGAACTCAACCTCGTACAGAAGAACATGGAAGGAAAATTCGGAACAAGCTGAACATGAAAGAAAAAGGGTTTTCACATTTATCTCCGATCTCTCAAGCTCTCTCAAGAACTCCAACAAGAAAACATAATTCTCAAATAATCATTCATCACTTCAAAGATAAATCAAGGGGCTATAAATAGCCTAGTACATGAGACTCAAAATATAAAAGACGACAATGCCCTCGGAGCTTACATACGACACCCCTTTACTAAAAGGGTACAAGAGGAAATAAGATAAACAAAAAACAAATACAATGACGCATAAATAAGAAAATACATAAATAAAAAATATAGTGACTCGATCGTGGTTGTAGATCGGCGGCCACGCCTCTGATAAACCATCCAAGATCGGATGTCCCCATTGAAATGTATGATAATAAGCTCATGTTCCTCCAGTATTGAAACAGATTGATACATCTTTCAGTGATGAGATGTTCAATAAGTTAGTTTGAATACATAATCTTCCAAAGTAGTGAAAAGATTGAAGTTTTGGTGCATTGATCTCCAACAAATCGAATGATTGGCAATCCCTAATGATCAACCTCTTGAGTTTCAGATTTGGAACCATAATGCTAATAGCACCAAGTTGCTTACAGCTCCTAAGACTCAAGCTCTCAAGAAGAGAGCATTCAGTGAGAATGGTCTGAAGCATTTCTTCACTGATATTGGAATGACTGAGTGAGAGAGATTGCAAGCCACCAAAATTGCTCAAATTCAAAGGAGATTTGAAATTGCAGCAACATAAGCTCAAATCAATCAATGTATCACAATCAAATAGAGAAGGAAGGTCAAACGGGCTTCTTCCATGGCTGAATTCACCTTGGGATAAGTCTATATCAAGATATCTAACACCTTTACCGATTGCATAACTTATCCACCTCTCTATATCAGAAGCAAACAAATCAAATGGAGAGAAGAAAAGATGGAACCTTTCCAGCTTCTTAGATGCATGAAGTGATAGATATCTGTTAACTGTTTCCACAAAGTCAGTTGCAGAAAGATTATTGGCCAAGTCGTCACCGAAGTCCAGTGCGGTGGCTGTATAGAGAGAGTATTTCCATAGATTTCGCCATTTTTTGGAGAGAACGTCGGTTCTGATTGCTGATTTCAGAGGCATCATTGTGAGGATGCTCTGAAGAACAGACTCAGGCAAGTTGCTGATCCTATCTTCACCTCTTCCCATTGTTTTTTTCTCTTCCTGCTTTATTTGTGAATGACTGACTTCTCTTCCCAACACACAGATTTCTACAAAATCTACAATCGCATCACCAACAGAAAGTTCATTTCATATTTATACGTCCTCAACAAATTATCTTGATTGGGCACGAATCTCGATGCAAAATCAAGTTGGAAACTTCCAAAATTAAAATTGGGACCATCCAAACTCCGATTTCAGCAAACTTACAGTCAAACTGAGCGTCTCGGAAATGCGAACCCAACAGCACCAAATCCACCCCAATCCGAGCCCAAACGGGTCCAAATCAAGAGTTAGAAGCATTGTTCGAAGTTTTGTACCACTGTTTGAGTTATCAAACGGTTTTCAAACATGACGAGCTTATAGACAAATCAAGCGGCTCGATGAGACGAATCCAACGAGCCAAAGATCACCAAATTCTGAAATCATTAAGATGTTCAAATGTACATCAACGGTCCATGATCAAGGGATTCAATATCGGTCGTCCATCCAACCACTCCTCATTTACCCTTGATCTCTCACCTATTTATGGGTCATGTCACTCCAGAAAATCTATAAATAGACCCCTCATTTCTCTTGAAAAGGAGGGGACCGAAGCAAGAAGAGAAGAAGAGAAGAGAAGGAAGAAGCTCATCCTCGACCACCATCGGAGTTTCGCTGGACCAACGCCGGACCACCACTTGAGACCCTCACCTTCGCCGGACCACCGCCTGACTCCGTTATTGCTTCGGACAACCACTTGAGGCCCTCACCTCCGCCGAACCACCACTTGACGCCGTTGCTCCACCGGACCACCACTTAAGGCCCTCACCTCCGCCGAACCACCGCCTAAATCAGTTGCTCCACCGGATCATCACTTGAGGTCCTCACCTCTGCCGGACCACCACCTGAGGCCCGAACTTCTTCCGGACCACGATTTAAGGCCCTGTGCTCCACCAAACTACCACCTGAGGCCCGGACTCCGCCGGACTATCACCTGAGGCCCGAACTTCTACCAGACCACCACCTAAGGCCCGGTCTTCCACCGGACCACTGCTTGAGGCCCTGTGCTTCACCAAGCCACCACCTAGGGCTCGGACTTCCGCCGAACCGTTACTTGAGACCTTGTGCTCCACCAAGACACCACCTGAGGCTCAAACTTCTGCCGGACCACCACCTGAGGCCCGGATTTCTATCGGACCACCACTTGAGGCCCTGTGCTCCACGAGAACATCACCAGTGGCCCAGACTTCCACCGAACCACTACTTGAAGCCTTGAGCTCCACCAGGCCATAACTTTATGCCCAGAGTTCTCCCAGAATACTGCCGACCTCCATCACCAGAAAACAGTCTATCTGACACTGGTCTCCTACCAACTACGGTCCTTCTAACCTCCGTCACCTACTATGGTCCATCCGACCTCCATCACTAGACAACGGTCTTTCTAACCCTGGTCTCCTGCCGACTACGGTCCTTCCGACCTCCATCACCAGCCAACGGTCTTTCTGGTCTCCATCCTACCGACTATGGTCGTGCCGAACAAACAAACATGTCTATATTGTAACTCCCACCATGTAATACGTTATATATGATGTATATTTGTATCAGCAAGTCAAGGCCTTCTCCCAAGGAAGGGTCTCATTTGTAATCGACTGAAATACTAGTGGATTCATTCAAACTGGATCAGACCCCGTGGTTTTTTCCCCTTTTAAGGGGTTTCCACGTAAAAACTCTGGTGTCTCTTATAAACGCTACACCCTCTCTCTCATCTGATTGTGTGCTGGATATTCGTACAACGCTAAGATGCTAAACTTTATAATTCTCTACCGCCGCGAATACTCCAGGACGCAATACATATAATAAAAACTTGCCTATGACCAGGGATGCTACATCTGCAGTCAATGTACATTTTGATTTCGGTACCCAGGCCATTTGATTAGGAAAATATTTAAGGCTTAGGCTTTGTATGAGACGGCTTTGAGAGAACGTCGGTTCTGATTGCTGATTTCAGAGGCATCATGGTGAGTATGCTCTGAAGAACAGATTCAGGCAAGTTGCTGATCCTATCTTCACCTCTTCCCATTGTTTTCTTCTCTTCCTGCCTTATTTGTGAATGACTGACTTCTCTTCCCAACACACAGATTTCTACAAAATCTACATTCACATCACCAACACACAGATTTCTGCTACATCTGCAGTCAATGTACATTTTGATTTGTGTACCCAGGCCAATTGATTAGGTGGAAAATTCAAGGCTTATTGTATTATGATTATTTTGTTGTGGTAAGTTTTCTTTTGAGGTGTAAGCGAGCTCACGAGTTTAATTTGATTGATTAACCAAATTTAGTTTAAGGCTTATAACTTTTTACTACTTCTTCAAACGATTTTTTAGTTCAAAAATTAAAATTTTAATACTAAAAAACTACTTTAAAAAATAACAAGAATGCCATCTCAAACGAATCTTAAATTTAAGTTTAATTTTATGAGTTCATATAAAAAAAACTATTTATTGTTTGAAAATTTTTATTGGCATTAGAGTTGACTGCTGATTAATAAAAAAATATTGGAATAACAGAGATAAAATTTTAAATATCTGACAAATTTAACTTAAAATTATTAAATTCTAATATATTTTATATTAATACTTTTAAATAAATTCGCTAACAAACTAATGAAGCTAGTTACATCAAGCTTAAGCTTGTTTGCTCATTGAATTCTATTCATAAATTATTTAGTAAGTCAATCACAAACATCTCTGTCATAAACAAGCTGGTTCACTAATAAGCGATTTAATTGACTAGTAGAAAATTTTAATTTTTGATAAAAAAAAATTTAAAGCAGAATGAAAACCGTCGAAAATGAGAGAAATTATTATCTGTAGTTACTGGACGCTATCCGGAGTCAAATCAGGTCGCACCATATCACCATTTTCTATGCATCACTATGTATCGAGTGACATGACACGTCCTGATTTGTCTTCAGACGGTTCCCTGACCGCACATAATAATTTCTTCCAAATGAAGTCTAAATATGCTTATCAAATAATTAAAAACACATGGCTAATAACTTCTTTCCAAAATTTTAGAATTTGGGAATTCCTTCTTGCATACTTAGAAAACATATTGTGACATCAATAGTGCAGCATAAATGCAGCATCACATATGTAGAAAACAATAATTGAAAGCTACTTCATCAGCAATTACAATTTCATCAAATGGATAACTTTCGAAATTTAGCAAAATATAATTTGTTTGATAACTGCGGTAAGATAATCAATTATTTACAAAACGCGGTTGTGAATTCAATCAATGCGCTGCAGAAAATTCCAGATTTGGAAAGCTAGCAAGCTCATAAGAAACTCATCAACTCATGAGTTTGTCAAACTGGCCATTTAAATTAAAATATATTACTTTTTTATAATTATTTCTTAAATCAAACTTAAGCTTTCTTGCTTTCAAAACAAACTACAACGACATCAAATCTTTATCCCACAATACGACGTCGACTACATGAATCATTTCTCTTTTGTGTCCTATTAAGGACTAATTAATCTATGCGAATGTCGAACATCATCCGAAGACCAACTGGAATGCGCCATGTGTGTACCACTGCTCGATGTCATTGACATAGCTGCACCTGATTCACCATTCACCTCTGAACGTAGAATTGCGTCCAGCCTCCGCACATAATAATTTCTCCATGTTAAGAGTCAAATTCTCATTTAAATCTAACAAAAAAATGATCATTTGTAATATGTTATGACCAAATCTTTTTAAATCTACCTCTATCTTTCTTAACATAAGCCAAATCTAATACACCTACCCTCCTAACAACTATCTAAAAAAATTAAAAAAAAAAAAAAAAAAACAGTTCCAAACAACTAAAATTTCAAATTTAGGCTAAATGTGCAATATCATATTGATACCATTAAACAATTGGAAGACAAAACGCCTCAAAATATAATATGCAATCACATTAACATTAATGAAATCCTCATTTGCCACAACAGAATCATCCAAAACTTTATAGTCTGAAATTAAAGACTGAATGACTAATATCAAAGTCTCATAAATATTGTCTAAGGAAAATCATTTAGCTAAAGGATAAGCTAAAGCAAAGTTCCCAAACCTAATTGTCATAACAGAATATATTTATAACAAAAGCCAAAAACACATCTCAGCAGTAGTATCAAGTCTACTACTACTGCTGAAGTATTTCAGATTTCTTCTTCTGCCAGAGCCTATCAAGAGCGCTGTCAGCATCTCCCTGAAAAAAATGAAAGGAAAGAGTACATTATAATCTGAAATTTCAAAAAAAAAAAAGATCAGGATATAATAAATCTATGATTTTAGAGCGCAATTCTACAAAAGACTAACTTAATAACAAAATTGTGATCAAGAAAACACCAATAAGGGTTTGGATCTGGATTAATTATTCTGTGCAGAAGTCGAACGTTGTTCAAAGACCAACCAAAATATGACACATCACCCTTTCACTGTGTAGTGCGCCTCGGTACTGCTCGGTATTGTGGCTTGATAATGCTGACGTGGACATACCTGATTCACCTCCAAACATAGAGCTGCGTCCAGCGTCCGAACAGAATAATTTCTCCTGGATCTGAGTCTAAATGGGCATAAATCAAACTTTTGATAGGGGAAGAGGGCTTCAATGAAGTGTTAATGCTTACTTGATTTGAGTTTGAGAATTATGAAAGTATTTAACTAAATTCAATTTGAATTTGAAATTCAAATTGATTTAATTTAGAAACTTTCCTAAAATAACCTTGGTAATTTAAAAAAAGATTTTAAAGTTCAAATTGTTTGAATTTGAATTCAAAATATGTCCAAATTATACCAATCCAAATTAGGCAAGGGAAAGCAATGGAGGAGGGGAGCTAGGGCCGGCAGGTTGAAGGGTTTCGGGCAAGGAGTCGGCGGCAAGGTGAGGAGAGATTATGTAGAGCTTGGGGGAGGGAAGGGGAAGGGCTTCGGGAATTCAGATGGTGGGGAGGTGAAGGGAGATTAGGTGGCCGCTGACAAGGATTAGGAGGCCGCCGGCAAGGATTAGGAGAGCCTTGGCCGGCAGAATATGGGGTTAATAAAAAAAAATGAAGATAAGAAATCACGAACCTGGCCGTCTCCAAGGTTGATAGGTGATGCCCCAATTTCCCTCTCCAAGGGATTTCTCTCCGATCTCTCAAGCTCTTTCAAGAACTCCAACAAGAAAATATAATTCTCAAATAATCATTCATCACTTCAAAGAAAAATCAAGGGGCTATAAATAGCCTAATACATGAGACTCAAAATATAAAAGACGACAATGCCCTCGGGGCTTACATACGACACCCATTTACTAAAAGGGTACAACTGGAAATAAGATAAACATAAAACAAATACAACGATGCATAAATAAGAAAAAAATAAAAAATACAGAGACTCAATCGTGGCCGTAGATCGGCGGCCACGTCTCAGATAAACCTTCCAAGATCGGATGTCCCCATTAAAATGTCTGATAATAAGCTCATGTTCCTCCAGTATTGAAACGGAATGATGCATTTTTCAGTGATGAGATGTTCAAGAACTTAGTTTGAATGCATAATCTTCCAAAGTAGTGAAAAGATTGAAGCTTTGGTGCATTGATCTCCAACAAATCGACTGATTGGCAATCCGTAATGATCAACCTCTTGAGTTTGAGATTTGGAACCATAATGCTAATAGCACCAAGTTGCTGACAGCTCCTAAGACGCAAGCTCTCAAGAAGAGAGCATTCAGTGAGAATGCTCTGAAGCATTTCTTCACTGATATTGGAATGACTGAGTGAGAGAGATTGCAAGCCACCAAAATTGCTAAAATTCAAAGGAGTTTTGAAATTGCAGCAACATAAGCTCAAATCAATCAATGTATCACAATCAAATAGAGAAGAAGGAAGCTCAAACGAGCTTCTGCCATGGCTGAATTCACCTTGGGATAAG